TGAGAAGAGAAAAGCAAAAAGGAAAAACACAAAATGGAAGAAACCAAAAGAAAAAAAAAACACATACAAACAAGTAATCATGCAAAAATATACATACATACATATAATTAAATTTCATTTCATAAAATTGTTTGATGTTCAAAATATAGCTGTCCCAATAAACAGCAAATCTACATAATTTAGAAAACACATTGTGCCATACATATGTACATGCCATTTTTGACTATTTACAAGGCAGCGCTAGATATGAGAATCAAAATATTAACGAGAGTGTCAGGTATAAAGTGGGTTAGAATAAAGATGCGTGAATCTTCGGTAATGGCAAGATAGCCCCTATGTTTCGTACATTAAATACCATACAGGGGTGGATTTTCGAAGAGATTGTTGATACCAATCTGTTCACACATCATTCAGGCATCGCGTGTTTGGGCAACATTAGCAGAAACAAATAATCATCCCCCGTCTTTAACCTCAGTTTTCAGTCTTCTAAAGAAATATTTTAAATTATTGATGCTACAGGTGCCTTAAAGGGACTGCTTTCTAAAGTTAATAGGTTACGCGCCCACTTGTGGAATACATAACTGCATGATTCCTACTGAGAAAAGGCAAAACGTCTTCGAGTTGATGTGGCAAGCGGTTGCACCACCGATCGCCTGCTGTTTATTAATTGACTTAAGCGGGTTTGTTATTTCGACGCCAACACAAAATTTGTTTGGCCCTACTGAACTCAACATATATTGGCATTTGGATTGGTTTGCTGTGCCAGCTTTTATTTGGAGTGTTTATGTGATGTTCAAAATTTTTAAGCACAAATTTAATAACTCACAAATTACTACTGAGATAATTTCTATTAAAAGACGTAGTTTCAGTAAACTTATTGAAAAATGTACGTCATAAAAATGTGTATCATAAAAAAAAATTAGGAAATTTTAAGTTTCTGAAATTAATACTTTGTATTTGACGACTAAGATGTGTTCAATTCGCCTTAGACTAAACAAAATTTTTAAATCAAATCACAACTCACTAACCATTTTATTAATCAACACCAATTACGAGTACTTACCCAACATTCTGATCACACGACTTTGAGCACTGATTCCACGNGAACGTTGCGACAGTTGAGATTGCAGCATGTGATGGTGTTGCTTCTGATGTTGTTGTAGTTTGGTAGCGGTCGCTGCAGTTATACCATTTACTTGATTTGCAACGATTTCTTCTCGTTTGGTGAGAGTTGTTGTCAGTGGGGAGGTATAACGGGAACGATGTGATGAATGACGACTAACGCTGTTGCCACCCATTTCACCGCTGCTGTTGATTGTGGTCGTCGTTGTTGTTGTTCGGATGCTGTCCTGAAGAGAGAGTTGATGTTTTTGGTCACGACAATGCAAATACGTAACTCGGTAAGAGTGGTAGTTATCGAGAGCGTTGTTATTCACCGTTGTATGAAGACGCATGGAACCGTTCTGGCTTAGCAGTGCGCTGTGTTTGCGGCTTTAACTCTGATAGCGGCCGGGGAATCCTAATTAATGAGCTAGAATTACCTGCGAAGGACAAAATAATCCTTTTTTTTCATTCAGCGAATTCCACAATTCCTAAGTAAAAAGCTGTTTCTAAATATGAGGTGGTAAAATGAATGATCTAAGATGTGATGGATAGAGGTGAGGAAGGGTAGGAATAGACTAGATGGCAGAACAAGCGGGGTCGAAATGAGGTCTAGTGGGATGAGATGGTAAAAGATGCGTTGAGGTTAGTTGAAATGTGTATAGTTTCGAAAATAAGCCAGTGAATTCGAAGCGAGATGATATTTCTAAAATAATATGCGATATAATGTATGTTTTACCAATACCTAAAGTGGTAAGACATTTCATTTGGCATATGTATATAACATTTATTTTCACTTGCGCTTTTCACCTATCCGACTTAACATTAACCTTAGCTCACCTTGAAAGCATCATTTGAGAAGAGAAAAGAAAATAAAAGAAAACACATAAAACGGCAGAAGCAAAAAGAAAAAGCCATTATACAAATAAGTAATCATGCAAAAGATGTACATGCATATAATTCAATTTAATTTCGTTGGCACCAAATTGTTTGATGTACATAAAAAATAAAGCAGTCCCAATAAACAACAGATGTATATTATTAAAAAACATATTCGTGTATTGGCATTTTTAACTATCTCTAAGGCAGCGCTGCATATGAACATCAAAAGAGAAATAAAGATGTGTGAATATTCGATAACGCCGAGAGGAGCGCCATGTTTCTTACCTTAAATTTCCTACAGGGATGCATTTACGAAGTAAATGTTGCCACCGATCCATTACACACATCATTCAGCCATCGCGTGTTTGTGTAACCTTAGCAGAAACAAATAATCATTCCCTGTGTTCACCTTAGTTCTCGGTCTGCTAAAGTTTAATTTGCATTTATTGATGCTACAGGTGCCTTAAGGGACTGCTTGCTACAGTTAATAGGTTACTCGCCCACTTGTTGAATACATAACTGCAGGATTCGTACTGAGAAAATAAAAAACTCCTTCGAGTTGATATGGCTAGCGGTTACGGCAGCAATCGCCTGCTGCCTTATGTGACATTAATTGATTTGAGCGGGCGTGTTATTATCGACGCCTACACAAATTATGTAAATATTTGTTTAGGCATATTGAACTGGAAACAAGAGGAGAGTTGATAAAACGATGGCCTGGGTGAAAGGAATTTGTGATGCGTTATTGAATGTATTTCGCTTCATTTGTTTGACAGAATTTATTTAACTGTTTTTCATGTTGTTTGGTCACGTGACGCGAAACTCGTGACAAAATCATATGAGCGACACAAGTTGTAAATATGTGGAGTGTTTATGGGATGTCTAATATTTTTGAGTAATTACATAACTCACTAGTTGTCATAGAAGGCGATAGTAGGAAATATTTCACAACTGCTTTAGTTTATATTAATATGCGTATTTTTGTTAAAATTATTGAAAACGTCACGTACGTCACAGCGTATGACAAACGAAATAAAGTGACCATGCAAGCAAAGACAACGTCTAAAGTCTACAGTCAATTGGTGTTTGAATCTTGACAACTACACCGTATTCTTTTCATAATAGATTAAGCAATATTATTTAGTTAAACAAAATTGTTGAATGATAAACATCGAATTAAGACTCACTAACTATTCATTTGAGCAACAACAATTACTTACCCAACATCCTGATCCCACGACTTCGAGCACTGATACCTCGACGCAAATCCAGACTACGTCTACTTTAATAATCATCAGGCTTATAGCGAATCCGTCTTAATTGTCATTCTATTGCTTTATTTCCGAATTATTTACTATATATTTTTATATACAACATTTCAAACCTTTCGAAAGGCTATATGTAACAAATGCAACTCACCTGACAATAGCAACACCAAATCCGACACAGCCAAGTTGAAGAGATAGAAATTAGTCGCGGTGAGCATAAATTTATTTCTCGAGATAACAATGCAAGTAATGAGATTACCCAACACACCAGCCACGAAAATGATGGCGTAGAAGACGGTAAGCGTTATCAGTGCGGACATGGGGAGCTGCTGCTGCGGCAACTCCCAGGTCTGATTGAGCTGCGCAGTGTTTAGCAGATCCGTTAGGTTCTCCGTCGATATATTCAGAGTCAATGACATATTCTGCTTGAATGCCTCGCTCTGCAACAATTGCTGTAGGTCCCCCACGGAGGACGAGTCAAAGGCAAAGAGCGGCGAATTAGAGTAATACGCTTGACTTATGAGGATATCCTCTTCGAGCAGCAACATTTCGTCAGATGTTTAGGCGCTCGTCAAAGTGCTGGCGGAAATGGTAGAGGTTGCCAGTTGAGGGCGCCAAATATATGTTGCGCTGGCTGGGGCGGTGCTTAGTTGCTGGTGTGAAATTTAATTTTCTGTAATAGGCGCGAGGCGTTGGCTGTAAGAGAGTAAAAAGTGCTGTATTTAGTATATATGCGTAAAAGTAGATATTGAGATCGAATTTCGAGCTTCATTGTGGTTGATAGAATATTAAGTCAGTAGGCGGGGCAAACGAAAACATTGTAGCTGTAAGGCATATATTTCACAATAAACACAGATGCTGGCATATATATGTGTATGTACTGATATACATGGCTTTGTAAATTCTTTACATTTATTTTTTCATGCAAATAATGTGCCACAGATATTTAAGTTGATAAAAATGTATTTTCTCCTTTATGGTAATTTAATGCGTCTGACTTTTTGCCTTTTTGTGGTTGGTTTTCTGTGGCAAGCATTCAACAGGAACAAAACATATATTTGGGCTTCGACTTTAATACTGGAGAGTTTTACTTTTTTAAAATTGTTTAACGTGTTGGACTCATGCATGCTGTAAATTTAGTAGAATGAAAGAAAAGCGAAAGTTAAAAGTTCACAATACTTCGGCATTGCGGAAACTCTCACACACACCAACGATGCAATGGAGCAGAAGTTAAAATTACTTTGCCATGTATTGTAGTGCATTTGCAAAATAACGAAAAATAACAAAAAGGAAAAGGCAGAGTCAATAATTCACGTGGTATATATGGTGAAGTGTGCGGATACACCATGGTAAATTCAAAGCTATTCTGGTATTGTGAATCACTGCTAATGTAAAATTGGAGAACGATGGAGTACAAAGCAAAAGAAAAAATTCAAATATTTTATCAGTTCTCCCATCGATTGACTGAACTTTTGCATTAAAACAAATTTAGATATAATTTTTTTAGAGGTATATGAAATAAATATCTTGGTTCATGTATAAATTAAAATAAAATGCACATAAACAATAAAATACATTTACTTATATACATAATTATTCACTAAACAGATTGAATGAATAAAAACTGAGTTTTATTAATAAGGCAATAATACGATAATACACAATAAACAAATTTAAACAGCAAAATCAAGTAGCATGTTTAACTAATAAAACATTATACCCCCATAAATATTTTCTTGGGGACTTAGCTCTAACTCTAACTTTAACTCTAACTCTAACTCTAACTCTAACTCTAACTCTAACTCTAACT